TGCGGACGGCGGCGCTGCTGTTGCTGCTGCTGACGGTGCTGGGGCTGTTGTCTCGGTTGATACGACTGCCTGTAGGATGGGCGATTCCAGGACCACTTACGTCTAGCCTGGGTCTGTATCTCCATCCTGCATGCCGTCATCCGTGATTCATGCAGCTTCTTAAGCTTGTGGTCGGTGCATGAGTGGAAAAGCCCGGACCCATCAAAAGGCATTTCCTCTATCCGGCGTTTGGTTTCTTCCGGAAAGTTGCAGTTCCTAAGCCATGCATGCCTCCCGAGAGAAACGGCACCGACCAAGGCCTGTGAGTCAGTATCCACGTCGTGCCTTGCCGTGGATAACTGCTGCACCGCGACCTGCATAGCCTCCTTAATCAGGACCTTAGCGAGGTCACCCTGGTGGTTTGGGAGGGTCGAGGCGACGTTGTGGAGGCGCTGCATGATGAAGTACTGGTACCTTGCCAACGTTGCCTCGTAATTCGATATGTGCAGGCCCAGGCCTGAAGCAGCGTAGGCTCGCCTAGCCAGGGAGTCGATTTTTTGGCCCTCCTTGTCCCTCGGTGCCGTGTGCCCTCTCACCTCTCTGCCCTGTTAGGATTCGATGACCACGGAGTTCGGTTTGGGATGGCAGAGGAGGAAGGCAATGTCCTCCTCCCGAACCCTGTACATTGACTCGTACCTCCTGGACGTTGGTTGAGGGTGTGAGGGCAGATCCCAGGGCTGCGTCATCGCCTGCCGCAAGGTGGTTATGAGAGGCAGGACAATAGATGTCGATTGCTCCCCATGGACGACATCATAGAACTTGTCCGTTGTCGGTCCCGGATGCTGGACGGCGTCGATGTCGAGGGACTGGACAAGTCTAGATATCAGCTCCGCGAAGGAGAGGTGGGATTCGTCCGGTGACCCTGGGATGTAACGGCGACGTCTGGGGAGGTTGAGTCGACCTCCGAGTAGGCCAAATCAGCACTGTAGTAGGGTGGAGCCAATGACAACGACTCCGCTGGGGAGAAGGAGCAGCTGCTTCCATCCTGAGTGGATCGAGGTGACGCCCGTCTCCGAGCGTGGCCAATCACGGGATGGTGGAGAGGATCGTCCCCTGGGAGCAGGGTAGTAACCTACGGAGAGCAGATCACCCCAAGTATGATAGTAGGGGCGATGCCAGCCCTCCGAACGTTGCTCCACGGAGCGGCTCCTCCAGCTCCCCGGTGGGGACAGTCCAACGTCTGCCTCCATGGTGGCCGCGGGCATGGGTGCTGGTGACCGCGCCCTAGGGGGGGAGTCTTGGATTTCCCTGTCAGATATCGAGCCCCTTAGAGTTGGAAGGGGTGCAGGCAGGAGGTCAACCACGCAGCGATGGGATCCTTGAGGGGTAACCCGCATAGCCTCCTGAAGGACCGGTTCGGGCGGAGTCGGTACCGTAAGCACCGCCGGTACCGAGGGGGCCGTCGGTTCCAAGTCCCGATGTCGGGGATGGTCCGGGCAGTCCGGATTCCTGGGCTTCTTAGGAGGCTTGGAGACTTTCTCCTTCCTGGCCCTCTTATGGCCTGCCGACTTCTCAGATTTGGCATGCTTCCGCTTCTCATGCTTCTTTTTGGGTGAAGCAGAGGGAGCAACTGAAGCAGATGCACCTTTGTCCAAAGGCCATGAGGGTGGGGCCACAGAAGCAGAGCCAGGTTTTGGGACGGAAAGAAGCGGGTCCGATTACATAAGGGCCTGATCCCAAAGGAGTCTCCAGAGGCGATTTTCGCAATTCTTCCTGGCCTGCTTGGAGAAGGCCAGGCAATGAGCGCATTTATCTGTCCTATGCCCCTCGCCCAGGCAGAGGAGGCATAGGTCATGCGGGTCAGTTGGTGCCATTTTTGACCCACACTCTGCGCATTTGCGGAAGGCCGCTCGCCGCACCATCGCAGAAAAAGAAGAAGAGAGAGACAGTGCAGAGGGTAAGTATATATTTTTGTTTTTTTTTTATGGACAGATAGATTGAAAAAGAAGGAAGAATACGAGAAAACTACTAGAACTACGCAGAGCAGGACAATGAACTGGGAGCAAGGAGAAAAACTGGGAAATAGAAATGGAACGATTGAGAACAAAGGCAACGGTCAAAGCGAAAGTCAAAAGCGGCACAAGGCACAGTGAATGGCAGTCGCAAATACTGAACAAAATGGCGGACGCTCCGCTCTTTATAGGCCACGGGGGGGAGGGGGAGCGGAGCTTCCCACCAAAAACCGTTAGCTGGCAATCTTCCGGCCACAGGCACTGTGCAGGCGCAGTACCCATATGTGTGATGCATAGAGGCCATGATGAAGAACCAATGTTCATAAAGTTGTGCAAACTGAACTGGGAATTGGAAATGGAATAAATATGAGTGCATGTTAGAAAATGTATGACTATGAAGTTTGGCCCACAAAGTTACCATGGCGTTATCATCCAGGAGCACCTGCAGCCTGCTCAACCATTTCATGCAAGAGTGGCAAATTAAAAATTGGTCTTGTCCATAACTTCCAAGATCTAAGGAACCTCAGAGGCTTACAAAGTCTGACAAACTGCTGGCATTATTTATGAAGTCACTATCCTCTTTTTGAAGGAAGAAAATCACCTCCTTAACAGTCTCCTAATCTGGATTTAATGAACCAAATTGGGCATGGGCTTAGGTAAGAAGGTTAGTAGACCGGGCCTTTGCAAAAACCGTGCCCACATCTTCCATGGAAAAATGGAAATTCATCCAACCCGATGCAAATGTTGCATTCAGCGGATGCTACCAATACAGGTCTCAATATCCAAGTCTGCCAGAGGGGCTCATGGCTAGTGCAACAGGTGGCTAGAGGTTCTAAAAACAATATAAGAATTTAAGAAAAGCTATGATGGATCAGACCAACGATCCATCTAGTCCAGCACTTCATACACATGGTGGCAAACCAGCTGCCCACAGGTCCCACAAGTACGATGAGTGCAAGACCTCTTCCTGTCCAAGCTCTTCAGCAACTGGTGTGTGCAGGTATGCCACCTCTGGTAAAGAAGGTAACACATAGCCAATAAGGTTAGTAGTCACTGATATTCTCATCCCTCATGAATCAGTCCAATCCCTTTTTAAAGCCATAAGGATTGGCAGCCATCAAACACTTCCCATGGCAACAAATTCCATAGTTGAAATGTACGTGGTATGAAGAAGTACTTCCTTTTATCTGTCCTAAACTTCCCACCAATCAGCTTCATAGGGTGACACCAAGTTCAAGTGTTATGGGAGAGGGAGAAAATTGTCTTCCCTCCTGCTTTCATGCATTATTTTAAACACCACTATCATGTTTAAATTTTTTTTTCTAAGTCAAAGAGCCTAGTTGTTGTAGCCACTCCTCATAGGGTAGCTGTTTCAGCCCCCTGATAGTGTTTATTGCCCTTCTCTGCAGTTTGTCCAACTCAACAATGTCTTTTTTCAGGTAAGTTGTCCAGAACTGAATGCTATATTCCAAGTCTGGTAGCATGAATTATTTGTATAAGGGAAGTAAGATTTTAGCTGTTTAGTGTCATCAGCAACTTTGGCCACTTCACCCTGAACTCCTGCTTCCATATCTTTTATGAATAGGTTGAAAAGCACTGATCCTATTAGTGAATGCAGTGGGACTCCATTGGTGACCTTTCTCTACTGGAAGAAATTGCCATTTATTCCTACCCTCTGTCTTCTGTCCTTTAACGAATTAGTGAACCATAAAAGGACTCTTCCCCTTTAATTCCATGACTGCTTAGTTTGCTTAGGAGGCTTTGGTGCGGCACTTTATAAAAATAACATTTGGGAAGTCCAAGAAAACACTATCTACTGGATTGACCCTGTAACGAGTGGAAATACTTGCCCCTGGAATGAGGCAGGTCAGCAGAGCTCTCAGTAGGAAGTTCTGCTAACTTGTACCAATTCAGAAACAAGGGTTTGTCGAAACCACTAGCTTTCTGTTGTGTGTATTGTGAGTTTGTTTCCATAAGCAAATAAGTAGGTGCCCAGTGGCAGGGTTGGTCAGTGTCCGGGATCTGAAAGTCAATGCAAAATTAAATGGAACAGAACTAAGTTACTTTATTAGCAAAGTAAGAAGCACATAAGTTACCAGGGAACTATCAAAAATTCCTCCTATTCACACTTAGGGCCCAACTGTAAGAGACCTGTAACCACTCCACAGATAATAGGTAAAAACATGTTTTTTTGCCATCATTGGCAAGGACTATTCCTTCAACTGAGTTCAAGCCTATGTTTTTTCACACTTGTCAGTTTGCTTGCTTCCAATATTCCTGCTATTATACCTAACGCTTCATCACCCACCACTTGAAGCTCTAACAAAGCCATGGCTGAACCCAAGCATACCAAGATAGTCTAACCTCCGACTTCTTTCTACTTCCATTTCTGTGTCATGCAAATCTTGTGAACAGAAAATATAGTGGGAATCCTAGACAATCTTTGTATGACAAGGATTGGGGGAGAGGGATGGCTTTAAATATTGATGTTTTTCCTCAGGAGAGGGCATACATAACTTCAGCAATGCAATTTTAGACACAGCAATTCAGTTATAGAATTCAGGGAGAGGAAAAGACAAAATAGAACAATGGGATACTATACAAGCTTATGTGAGGACCACGGCAAAAAAACATCAGAATTCTGCATGTAAGCAAGAGAGCCACAGGAGCAGAAGGCAGAGATTCCCTAGTACACAGTCTAAATTCCTCTAGTCATCTTTGTTCCTGTGGAGTTTATTCTCTGCTGTGGAAATCAGTTTCAAATGCACAGAAACATAGATCCCAAACAAGCATCGTAAGAAATACTACTGCTATCTTTCAAACTGCAGGCTGTTTATAACCAGACCAAACAGATAAGATTGGAGGAACCATGCTGAATGGGAATGATGGGAGCTGTAGTTCAACTCATCAGGAGGGCATTGAGTTGGAGAAGGCTCATCTAGCCACCTAGAAGTAATACTGTGCAAACAAATACTGCAATTCAGGCCCTCATATTCTCACATTACTTACCAGGATCGTAAGTAGGTGGGGGTGGTGGAGGAAGCTTTCCCCCTTCCTTAAGAACCTGATCAACTCCTTTGGCAGCACGTATAGCTGCTATCAGTTCCTCATGTTTCCTTCTCCAGTTTGATGGTTTTTTGGGGGGTTCTGGCTAAGATGACAATAGGAACAGAAGAAATGTATTTGCTATTTGATAGAATTATTTTTTTCAGTTTTGCATGCAATATTACATATCCCATGATTAAGCATAAATCCTGTCTATAGTTAGGTATGTACAAGGAATCACCTCGGAAGGTCAACATTTTGCAGATTGGTCTAGCTCTGCCACCTGAATTCCAGACTGTTTACCCAGCACTGATGCTAACAGTGAGTAAAGTCAGTACATGATGTGTGAAATACAGTGCAATTTTCTCCATTTCCCTAAAACCTGATCAAACTTTGCACAATTTATGAGATATGGACACAATTTAAATTGCCTTTAAATAAAAATATGTAAATTATACCCCCAACTTGGGCTACTTTCAGCTCTTGATTCAGCAAGGTGTGCCAAAGTCTGCTGAGTGCAAGTGGGCAGAGTTCAACAGTGTCCAGTATCTCTAGCTTGTTTCATGAAGTCATGTTGTATCTAATGAAAGCAAGATACCTACAAAAAAGTCAGGTTGCTTACATGTAACTGTTGTTCTTTGAATGCTCATCTGTGTATTCACACATATGGGCTCTGCACCTGCAAGAAGCCTGTTACTGGGAAGATTTGGTAGCTAAGAACATTTTGGCAGGAACCCCTCCCCCCACCCCAGCATCAGTGGGGGAATAGTTCCTACCCTTCCAAACAAGACCACTGAGGTGGCCTCAGCACTGAGAAGGTCTGTCATAACTGACCTTGACCTTGTCAAAGTAGTAGTACAGCTTTATAAACAAAACATTTTTATGACACCAAGCAAGACTGGTGGGTTGTCTGAATGCACAGCTGAACCCTGGAGGAATGACAGTTACAAGTAAGCACCCTTGTACCGACTCTACAACTTCTTCCTATTACAGATGCCAGGATGAGGGGAGTGGTCCCCACCCATATGCTCTTAGCAACTAAATGTTCCCCGTAACAGGTTCCACACAGGCACTAAGTTCCCATGTGTGATGTACAGAGAACACAGAGAACTCTATTTCCCTCCTTGATAGGAATGTTGTGAGGGCAATTATGAAACAAATATAGAAAAAATACAGTGAGACATGACTGGTTTGTGGCGGTTAGAGTGGTTTTGGGTCAGACTCTCAGCCCAACCTAACTCACAGGATGGTTGCTGTGAGGATAAAATGCAATGAAAGAAGACTATTTAAGCTGTCTTAGGTGGTTCACAAGAGAAAAAAAAGGCGAGATACAAATGCAATGCAGATTATGATGATACTAATGATGATATCATTTCTCAGTAATAATGAGAAACACTTAGGAAAGTTCACCTTTTCCCTAGTTGTATATGGCAGATTAATTACTGCACTCTCTTTAGCCTGCCTATTTTATTATTCTGTTTTCATTAGAAACATAACATAGAAACAGAGCGAGTCAGAAGGGGCCTCCCGGGCCATCTAGTCTGACCTCCGGCACCAGGTGGCTCTGCTCACGACATGCCCACCATGTGGACGTCCAGCCTATCCTGGAACACCCGCAGTGATGGGGCCTCAACGACCTCTCGTGGAAGCCCATTCCACACCCTCGGGGTCCTGACTGTCAGGAAGTGCTTCCTGGCATCCAAATGGAACCTTGGCTCCCTGAGCTTTGCTCCATTGGAGCGTGTCCTGCCTTCCTCTGCAGGGGAGAACAGGTCTCTACCCATCTCCATGTGACATCCCCTCACATACCTGTATGTTGCCAACATATCCCCTCTGAGTCTCCTCTTCTCCAGGCTGAAGAGACCCAGTTCCCTCAGTCTTGCCTCATACCCCATCCCCTGCAAACCTGCCACCAACCTTGTGGCCCTATGCTGCACTGACTCCAACCTGGCTATATCCTTTCTGTAATGAGGGGCCCAAAACTGAAAACAGTACTCCAGCTGCGGGTGCACTAGAGTCATATAGAGTGGTAGTAATACCTCTCTTGATCTAGAAGCCACACTTCTGGCTATGCAACCAAGGGTGGCGTTCGCTCTCTTAACCACCGCATCACACTGCTGACTCATGTTTAGCCTGCAGTCAACCAGTACCCTGAGGTCCCTTTCACAAGTGCTGCTCTCCAGCCACTTGTCACCTAACCTGTACTTATGACAGCTATTCCTATGCCCCAAGTGCATGACCTTGCACTTATCCACATTGAACGCCATCCTGTTGTCTCCCGCCCACTTCCATAGTCTGTCCAGATCCTTTTGGATCTGGAGTACCTGCTTCTCAGTTGTGGCCACTGCTCCAGTTTTAGTGTCGTCTGCGAATTTGATCAGCAGACTGTTCACCCCTTCTTCCATGTCGTTAATGAAAAGATTAAACAGGATTGGCCCCAGGACAGAGCCCTGGGGGACCCCGCTTGTCACTGGCCACCATTCCGATGATTCCCCGCTAATGGTTATCTTCTGCTTTCAGTCAGTCAACCATGCCCTAATCCATCAGAAAGTGCTTTGGTGTATCCCAAAACTCCTCAGTTTCTCCACCAGGATATCATGGGGCACTTTGTCAAAGGCCTTGCTGAAATCCAGGTATACCACATCCACTGCATCCCCTCCATCTAGCCATCTTGAAACCTTGTCATAGAATTCCACAAGGTTTGTCTGGCAGGACCTGTTTTTGCAGAAGCCGTGTTGTGCGGCTGTCAGCCTCCCTTCCCTGTCTAGCATCACTAGATCTCTCTCTATTATGAGCCTTTCCATTGCTTTTCCTACAATGGACGTAAGGCTAACCAGTCTATAATTCCCCATGTCCTTTCTACTACCCTTTTTGAAAATTGGGACCACTGATGCCACCCTCCAGTCCTCTGGAACTTCACCCGTTCTCCACGAGGTCTCAAAAATGGAGGCCAGCGGGCGTGAGAGAACCCCTGCCAACTCTCTAAGTACTCTCGGGTGTAACCCGTCAGGGCCTGGCACCTTTGTAATGTCCAATGCCCTGAGGAGCCCCTCGACTTCAAGGGCGGGGTTACTCTAATCTGTGCCCCTAAGTCCCCAGCCTCATCTAATCTCCTATGTGGATATCCCCCGTCCTGCTTTGGGGAGAACAGAGAGGCAAAATAGTCATTTAGCATCTGTGCCTGTTCCCTCATATCAGTCACTGGATCTCCTTCCTCCTTATTTAGTGGTCCCACCACTTGTCTCCCCTTCCTCTTCCTATTTACATGCTGAAAGAAGCCCTTTTTGTTGCTCTTGATATTCTTGGCAAGTCTCAGCTCATAATCAGCCTTAGCCTTGCGAAGAATCCTTCTGCAATGGGCCTTCTCCTCCCAGTATACCCTTCTGTTTATTTCCCCTAGTACACCTTTCCTACAGATGTTCCTCTTTCGTCTAATCCCTCTAACCACCTCCTTTCACCTCCATGGCGGCACTCTCCTCAGCCTCCCCACCTTACTGACTAGAGGTATCGTCAAGGCTTGTGCCTCCAAAACCTCCCTTTTGAGTGCTATCCACCCCTCCTCAACTTGCTTACCTTCCAGTAACCTATCCCAGAAGACTTTCCCCAGTCTGGCCTTCAGTTGGCCAAAGTTGGCCCTCTTGAAGTCCCAGCTTCTAGTGCTCGACCTGCTGCATGACCTGATCCCCAGTCCCGATCTCAAAGCAAAGGATGCAGTGATCACTCACATCCAGAGCTCCCCTAATCTGTACTTCATCTATCAGCTCCTCCCTATTGGTCAAGACCAAGTCAAGGATGTTTCCCCCCCCATCGCCTCTTGGACCCTCTGTGTGAAGAACCCTCCCTCTATAGCTTCTAGGAAGCAACGTGACCTGGCTGTCACCGACACGTGAGTCTCCCAAGTAATATCCAGGAGATTGAAATCTCCCATAATTACTGCGTCTCTCCCCTGAGATATCCTTAGAATCTGGTCTGTCAGGACATCATCCAGGGTCTCAAAGTTGACCTGGAGGGCGATAACATACCCCCACTGTCAGGTCTCTTTCCCTGTCAAAACTCCTAAGTTTCACCCAGACTGCCTCTACCAAATCCCCATCTGTGCTGCATTCTATCTCACTGCATCCTATCCCTTCCCTGACGTATAAAGCCACGCCCCCACCTCTCTTCCCTTCCTGTCCTTTTTAAAAAGGACCCTTCTATGTTCACATTCCAGACTTGCCTTTCATCCCACCAAGTTTCTGTGATTTCCACCATATCATACCCACCTATTCCCAGGACAGCTTCAAGCTCTTTCTGCTTATTACCCATGCTCCTAGCATTGGTGTACATGCACCTCAACTCCTTCCCACCACTTCCTTTCCTTGGAGTACCCAGCCTCCTCGTTCCCCCCATCCTCCCTGGTACCTGGCCCCTCTCTGTAGGAGTCCTGTCAGTCCCTGCAATACCTCTAAAACCCTGCTCCCAGAGCCTTGATCCTCCCCCCACACTTGTCCAGTGCAGACACATTACTGGGGGGCCTGAACTCCCCCCCCCCCCCGGCTCAGTTTAAAGTCTTCCGGACGAAGCTCGCTAGAGCATCTCCAAAGGACCTTTTCCCCATCCTCGTGAGGTGTAACCCGTCCCTTGCCAAAAGTCCATTGGCAAGAAAATGAGTGCCGCGGTCGAGGAACCTGAAGCGTTCCTTCTGGCACCACACCCTAAGCCAGTCGTTCACCTCGGAGGCCCTCCTGTCCCTTCCTGGCCCAAATCCCCGGACAGGTAAGATTGACAAGAAGGCCACTTGGGCCTTCAGCTTCCTGAGTTTCTTCCCCAAGGCCTCAAAGTCCCTGGTGGTCCCAACCACACCCTGCCTGGCCACATCGTTTGTGCCCACATGGATCACCAGGAGCAACTGGTGACCCCCGGAGCGAACAAGACGCTCCACTCTGTCCTTCACATGCCAGATGCGTGCGCCCGGCAGGCAGCAAACCTCCCTTGTCTCCAGGTTGGGGTGGCACACTGCCGCCTCAGTGCCCCTCAGCAGGGAGTCCCCAACAACAATCACCTGCCGCCGTACCTTCCCGGTCTGGTGGGCGGCCGCGCCCTGGCCCTCGCCTCTCCAGCAGCAGCCCCCTTGCCGCCTGACGTCCCAGGCTGGGTGTCCTGCTGGTCCCCTGAGGCCTCATCAGCCCCAGCCTCCCCAAGTGGAGAGAACCTGTTTCCCAGCTCCAGATTGGTGCCAGGAGAAGGAGGAGGCCGTGCTGGCCTCCTCCTCCTGTGGGTGACATACCTCCATGTCTCTGCAGCTGCTCCTCCCGTGGTATCTCCCTCAACCCTCTCTCCAGAGGGGGGATGCTCCGGGGGGGCCTGGAGAGCTCTCTCGGCCCTCAGGCACCTCACCTCCTCTTCTAGCAGGGTCACCTTCTTGCACCAAGGGCAAGTGTATCCCTGCCTCTCCTGGGGGAGAAGGGCGAACATGTCGCAGCTATTGCAGCGGACAGCAACACCTGTGACTTTTGCCAAGGCCATCTCCTGGTCTGCCATCATTATCCCTTCTGAGACCTTACCTGGTCCCCTGCCTTGTTTGTCCTACAGTTCCTCTCACTCGCCCAGTTCTCCCAGACAAAAACCCACTCGCACACACATACAAGGATAAAATAAACTTAAATTTAAATTGGAAGAAAAGCAAAGCAAAGCAAAGCACAGCACAGCACAGCACAGCACAGCACAAACAAAACAAACAAAACAAACAAACAAACCTCTGTGTCCCAGGGAAGGGAGTCTCCGGACAGCCTGGGTCGCAGCTAAGGGACGCAGACAAGGGACGCCGCCGTATCAGTCCCTCCAGCCGGTGGCCCCGCCTTTCCGCTTCCTCCTGGCCCCTCTAGCCTCTCTGGCCCCGCCCCCCTTCCTCTCCACTGCTCCTGGCCCTCTGCTCTGCTGCCCAGCTCCTACCTTGCCTTCGCCAGTCCCCTGGCCACCCAGCCCTCTCTCCCAGCCTGTGCCTCTGCTGCTCTGCTGCTCTGCCAAGAGGCCAGAGCCAAAAGGGCCAGAGCCATTAGGGTTAGAGAGAGCATTAATGGGGAACTACTAATATCTCATGCTTTGATTTCTCATTTGACAGAAACAGTGCTTTGCCCTTTTTGACCTTTTCACATTTTGTTGTGTTACGAGCTGGAATTGAAATGGATTTAATTCACATTGTTACCACTTCCTCTACAAGAGATACTCAATACTGTTAAGGTACAACATATTTTTAATGTGGCACAAAAGTTAAGTAAATAACATATTGGCGCTTGTATATGTATTCCCCTGCTTTGTTGTGACATGCCAAGAAACGCTCTGGTGTAACGTACTACCTCCAAAAGTCAGTGTAAGTAGCTGAATAGAGTCTACCTGCATGCAATTCAATTTACACACGATCTCAGGTTAAATACTCTTGTTTCTAGAAGACCCCACAGTTTGTGGGAGAGTACATCTAAACAAGCATCATGAAAACCATGCATCATTAAAACCAAGGAGTTATGTATGAAAACAATGATGGGATAAAGTTATGCAAAATCCAATGAAGGCTGGATTATAAAAATATTTCAAATAACTGTTAGAACATCCCCAAAACACTGTTAAATCAATTATTTCAAAATGGAAAGAATGTGGCTCAATTGTGACTTATCTCTAGAAAAGGCGATCCACTAAAACTCAGCGACCAGATAAGAACATTAGTCAGAAAAGAAACCAAGAACTATGAAGGAACTGGAAATTCACAGCTGATATCGAAAACAAAACAAAAAGCATCCCTAAGAAACTGTCATCAGACTATCACTATAATTACTGAAAAAGCCATTACTGAAGAAATGCATACCAAAGCCATTTGGAGCTTGCAAAAAGGTACATAGAAACAAGGAAACCTGTAGGAAAAGGCAACTGCTGCAAAATCCTATGTTTGGGGCAAACCAACACACTCATTGACAGGAGAACACATCACCATGATGAAGCATGTTGTTGGCAGTACCATGAGATACAAATGATTTTCTCCTCACAGAGACTGGGAACCTGGTCAGAATTGAGTCAAAGATGGATGTAGTCAAATACAGGGCACTTCTAGAGGAAAACCTGTTTCAGTTTGCAAGACACTTGGGACTTAGGTAGAGGTTTTAAACCTAAACACACTGCCAAAATGACACTGGAGTGGTTTCAAAACAAGAACCCGAGTGTCTCAGAATGGCCCAGTCAAAGCCTGAACCTTAATTCAATTGCAAATCTGTGGCAAGATTTGAACAATACCCACAATACCCACCCAAAGAGACAGAGCTGCAGTAGTTTTGTCAGGAGGAATGGGCAAACACTGCATGAACTGGATGGATGTACAAAGCTGATAGACTTTTCCTAATTAGACTCACAGCTGTAAGATACCTCTATCAAGTACTGACTTGGGGGGCTGAATACTTATGCCATCTCACAAGTGCCAAGTTGGTTTTTTTCACTTAACTTCTGTGCCACAATAAAAATATTTTGCACCTTCACTATGTAATTTTTTACATCAAGTGCTATTAATGCTGGAGAGCTAATAAGGTGTAGCAGTTATGAATGTGGATCTGGCACTCTGGAGATCTGGATTCTAGTCCCCACTCAGCCATAGAACTAATTGGATGGTTTTGGGTCAGTCACAGACTCTCAACCCAATCTCACAGGGCTGTTGCTGTGAGGATAAGACTGAGAGGTGGAGGAGAATTTTGTAAGCTGCCTTGAGTTCCTTGAAAGGGAAAAAGGCAGTTAACAAATATAATAAATAAATAAGCAAACAATGTTAATTATATACATTTCAATTTCAGGCTGTTAACACAACAGATGTTATACTCTTTCCAGCACCAGGTAAAGATCTTTTTATTCAACCATCCCATAGAGAAGCAACTGCCTAAAATGCTATTAACTAACATCCATGTACCTACCCTTGGCTTCAAAGGTTTTACTGTGGAAATATCAGTGCCTTCAGCTCTCTGTCTGCTGGAGTCAAATGTTTTTCTTTTTCTAGCAGCAGATTTTTGACAAATGGGAACATGTTTTCTCTATGAAAGAGCAGGAAAAAAAGGTAATATTTAGATTTGGGAAGAGGTACTCCCAATCACAACCTCAGGTTTTTAGCTCTCCTGGTCATGAAACAAGGACTGGAGGACATAGGAGGATAAAGTTTATATTTATATGGCAAACCATCCCAAGTGTTAACAGCAATAAAACCAACAGATTAATAATCAACAATAATGCTCTATAATAGATTTATGAAATGCCCAATATGTATGAAAAAAGATTAAAGTCTCAAAGTAGGCTCATCCCATAAAATTCCTAACACTGTAAAAGCTTTTAAAATTATATGCATTTTAAAAACCACTTGAGAAAAATATGCTTGTCAGAAAACAAAAGCAAGATTTCCTGTTATATGCACATAATAACCCCATTTTCACATAATACTGATTCATGCTAATCTATGGTTTGTTGCCCTAGCCAGGATAGTTTGGTAGATGATCAAACAAACCATAGGTTATTTACTCAATCTTTTTGTTGTTTCCTTCCATCATCCATCCCTTCCCTTTAACCCAAATGCCTTTGTGGTATTGTACTGGCACAGAGCAGCTGGTTTTTTTTATTTTTATTTAAAGTTTTTATAAACTGTTCACTGTACATCTATTCTTGTGTGTTTGGGGTTTTTATTTTTCTTGTGAAAAACATGTGTTTACTTGTAAAAAGATTAGTTTAAGGAAAACAGGGTTCGTAGCACAAACCATACATTATCTTTCTGAGCAGTTTATGGCTTTATTAATAAATCGTGGTTTGTAAGCTATAAACTACTCAGTCATAAACATGTCAACTATGAAGTCCATATCCTGTGAGTTAAATAAAAATCAGTTGGCATTATGTGCAAGTCAGGTAACTCCCTTGCATATGAATAAAGAGGTATTGCCAGTTGCTTTTATGGACAGAGTCATTAAGACAGACTGAGATAAACAATTCATACAAAATTCTGCATAACTTTATCTATGTTTGTGGTGATGGCACTGGACGGTAAGAAAAAATAACCGCAGCAATGTATAACAGCTTCATTTTTTAAAAAATGTGTTCACTTGTCATCCTCAATTTAAGTCACCTGATTCTGTACTCACTAATGTATTTGGGATAAAAGTCCTTCCACAAATCTTGCATGGTAACAAATCTTCAGCTTCTCCTGTACTTCCATTATCTTAAAAGAAACAGACATAAGATTATGGCAATATAGTTTTCATTTATAATCTCATAGTCAGTGGCAAGTAATTTTTCTCACTTTTGTTATTTTCAGTGGACTTAAAAATGCAGGAATAAATTCCACCCTTAATAATAAATATTTGCAATCTCATGTCTTCCATTCATAAAATTACCTACAAAAATGGAAATATTCTGCTTAAAATGCAGAGTATAAACATTTCTTATTCCCTAGGCAGAAACAGTAAATCTGTGAACCTTGAGCTGTGGGAAGTTAAATACACATTGGGATGGTGCCCTGAACATTAGTATCCCATGGTAATAAATGGGGTTGGACTAGTAAAATAAAGGAATATAGAAGTGTAAGAAATTATTCAAATCTAGAAACATGAGCTTTTTAGTAATAATACTGTAAAATCAACTTCTTTATTTATTTAACATTTGATGATAAGCAGGGTCAATAAGGTTATATACTTTCTATGTGTTTTCGTTTCGAAAGCTTTCAGTGTAACCCCACTTTATACAACAGAATAGCAGAAGAATAAGCTCCATATACGGTGGTACCTTGGCTCACGAACAAATCAGGTCAGAAACAAAAATTACTGAAAATTTTTTACTTGGGTCACAAACATCGCTTTGGGTGGTGACCAAGATCGCAGCCATCTCCCCCCTCCCGCCGCAGTGGGGAGATGGCCACGATTGCAGTTCCATTCGTGCAGGGAAGGCATCTGTGATCACAGGTGTGCTGCTGCAGGAAAGACGGGTGCAGCAAAGCAGAGCCGCGGGGGAGATGGCCGAGATTCTGCCTGTCTTTCCTGCAGGAGTGCGCCTCTGATCAGGCACGTCTTCCCTGCATGAACGGAACTGCGATCGCGGCCATCTCCCCACACCCAGCGCACCGTTTGTGCCCATCTCTCCCTCCCCCAGTGTGCCCGCGATCACGCCCGCCTCTCCCCCCCCACCCCTCCAGCACGCTGGGATGATGGGTGCCTGCAAGGATGACAGGCACGTGCAGGGATGACAGGCGTGATCTTGGTAGTTCGGGGGGGGGGGGGGAGATGGCCATGCTTGTGCTTGGGGTGGGGGAGGGAGATGCCCATGATCTTTGTTGCTGTCACTTTGCTTCACATGTTTCTGATTTAAAAAATGGTTACAGAATGGTTACAGAAGGGATTAACCTTATTTACACTGAACCTTATGGGGAAAGTTAACTTGGCTCATGACCAACCACAAAAGACAACAAAAGTCATAATATGAACTTTAGAAGTTTAAAGTTACGGTATAAAATAAAATAAGAGCCAAGCAATACAAAGATTTGAACAGATTTAAAACAGAAACTGGAATACAAAAATACCTGGGAAAATAACAAGAATTTCAAATTTCTCTGGAAAGACCGTAATGTTGCTTTGCTTTTTTTTGTTTGTTTTATTTTTTCTTATTTGTAAACCGTCCAGAGACTTTAGTACTTGACAGCATATAAAAACTTTAAATAAATATGTACATAAATAAAGTATGCCTGAGATTTATTTGTTAGATTGATGTTCCACCTTTTTTCTTGCTTTTTTTAAGAACTCAAAGTGGCTTAAAACATTCAATTTTATCAACACAACAACCACCCTGTGAGGTAGGTTGGGCTGAGTCTGTGACTGCCCAAAGTCACCCAGTCAGCTCCATGACTGAGTAGGGACTAGAACCCAGATCACTAGAGTCCCAGTCCGGTGTTCTGGACAGATACATATAAGAGGAAACAATCCTTCAGGTAACCTGGCCTCAAGCTTTTTAGCACTTCAAACTGGGTCAAAATGAAGAACTGCAGATGGAGAAATACTGAATACAGAATACTCAACAATGAACATCCTATTATTGGAACAACAGCAGTTCTGTTTCATTTAATCTTTCCAGCCTTCCAACTATTAATCCTGGCAAAAACCCAACTGACTACAATTGTATTTGCAATAGTGGCAATATTTTTAAAATATAAATAAAACATGTAATCTATTAAGAAGCTGAATATTTCCTTTGTATGAAAATACAGCTGTACAGACAAAAAGGAAAAATGATTTTGTTTTAAGTATATTAGAAACAGTCTTTTTAAGATATTTCTGTTAAGGTCATGTACTCATGCATGATCTTTTAAAAGTGCACATGTGTAGCCCCCCCCCCCACATCTACAATTTGTAGGAAAGGAAAATAGCACATACTTATAATCTATGATCCTTTAAACTTCAAGATTTACAGATGGAAGATTTGTTCTATTGTGGAAGCACACATACACAAAAAAGTAAGTAACCAAATACATTTGGTTGCTTTATTCAAATATTACATTGCACAGAACAATAGCCTGAAGTTTTCCACATTTTGAGTATAAATTTACATTAGAATACACAAGTCAGCTTTTAGATTACACATTAACTAAGCGGCTGGACCAAGGCTAAACTTTGGTCCCACTGAAATCAATATGAAAAGTAAGTTCCAATGCTTTCAATGAGACTTGCAACTAAGTTAGTGTATGGTTTACCCAGTAACATTACATTAGCAAGTAACATTAAAAGAAGCAACCAACTCAAAAGACAGTAATTCAAAAATCAATTAAGTCTAAGACTGAACAATGCTTTTAGTTGTTACGAATGTTTGTATTAACTAAAAGATGTAGCGGAAAGATTTGCAACCCTTTAACTAAGTAAAAAATGTTACGGAATAGTCTAGGTTTTTTTTCTTTTTCTACCTTCAATCAGTTCATGATCTAAGAAAAACTTCAGAATGTTTAATGGTAGGTGCAGCCTGAATAGTCTTTTTTCTAGAAGTGTGTTCAGCTAGAGTGAGCTGATTATATAGGCAACAGGATCCTGGGCATCTGAGAGAAACTCCAGCTTAAGCATCCTATAAGTGGAAAGCTGAATAACAAACAGCAACTTTAGGTAAGTCATCCATGTCAGGAATTTGCACAAGCATTTGTTGTCAATTCAATAGGAATACATACCAGACAGATATGAATCCAGATCTCTACACCACTCTGAAGCATAGCATCAATACTGATAATTTACCTGTTTTATACAACCAAGTATCAGTTAAATCTTATATCTGAGATGAGATTTAACTGATACTTGGTTATATAATCATGTTAAACAGAGGACAGATACCAGCCCTGAGAGATTGTAATCTAAAGTGTGACACCAGAAAAACAACAAGGAAGTTGATAGAAATAAGCCAGCAGTAAAAATGGGATTAATTCTGTTACATGTCCTTAGACTTAGTTGCATACTAAGTTACAGTAGAAAACAGATAGGTAACTTGGTGCTCTTTGGATGTTTCCACAAAGGTAAAATACATTCGACAATAGGCTGACATTTACCATTTGTTCTGTTTTTATGTTTACTCATGGTTGACATAGATTATCTATGGCCTTCTTGCCCCTCAGTCATCCTAATGGTTCTGAGAACTGAGGAACATACCACTGCTCTACTGCACAGAACTTCTTAACTTTAAAACCTATGCTCTTTTATCAGGAGGCCAATGATAGACTAACCTTGTATATTCACCACTGTGTGTCACTGCTTTTCCATGTTATTGTTACCCCCTCACATATTGCAAAGACTTACCAACTGCCTTGATGAATCTTGCCTGAATTACTTATCTTCTTTCAATGCTTCATGTAATGAAAGAAAAGCAATTAACACTTGGAAAACCTATAGAAATCCCAATGAAAATTCTTCTTTTCTTTATGTTTAATGAAGTCATTCTACACATATACTAGCATTTTAAATTAATAAGATGTTTTGAAGCTGTGTTTTTCATTAGACTCTTCACACATCAAAACCGAGAATCTACATTTATTTAAATAAAACTTTACATTCATCTCTTAAAACATATGAATCCCCTACATGGCAGAAATCTAAAAAGGAAACTAAAATAAGTCATTAAAAAAAGATCAGAGGAAAAACAGCTTAAGGGATTTCTGTGACAAGTCCAATTATACCTGAGTTTCTTCAACAAGATTAAAATCTTTTCTGTTGTGCTACCATCTTTTTAAGATTAGTTGTATTGAGTTATTTTTAGAAAATAGGGACTTAACATGCTGTGAACTGTCACAGAAACATGAGGAGTCCCTGTTCAGTTTTACAGTATTATCTAGCTGGCAGCAGCATCTCAACATTCCAACAAAGGGTACTTCTACATGAAACTTTTATGTGATCTTGTTCCTGGAATTCCAGACAAGGTCCAGACAATGCTGGAGCATGGAGCTAGGAATCAGTGTCTGAGTTCAAGTCTTTTGTTCAACCCAGCTTTACAACCAATTATCAATAGCGATAGACACTAGGGTTTCCATAACAGCAATGACCTCGCAGGAGATCTGTACTCTTCCTTGGTTTGCAAGCATCTGCAATCCCATGGAAAAGGTAATAATTAAGTGGCTGAATAAACACTTTACTTGTTTAAATTCACAAGTTCAGTCCTAGACATTTAATGGTTAAAGGTCTCAAAGCAATAGTACTGGGAAAGGCTTCCACTGAGATCCTGGTAAGCAGTCACATAAGTTGGTATTAGGCTATACAGAACAAGGGACTTAATCAGTACAGAAGAGCTTCTCTCTTAAGACTCTTACCCAACTTCCTGCTTTATTTATTGCCCTGTCCACTGCATCCTATTATGGCTAGCATTACCAGCTATTCTTTTTCATATCCCATTCCATATTGATGGAACAGCCAACACATAGCTGGTTCTCTTGTTTTTGGTCTATTTTTTTTTTTTTTAACAACACATCACTGGCATAGATTCTTAGCCACTAAGAGTGCATCAGTAATGCTGCAGAGATTATTACAAGCAACAATGTCAATATTAAGGGAATGCTGATATCTTCTTATTGAAGCCTATGTAGTTTTCCTTACTGAAGAATACTGAATAATGTAAAGTATTACATTAAGTAAAATCTGGTAAAAAATGTCATTCTTGAGCAGGATGTTTAATACACTCTTGGTATCTCAGCTGCAGCTACTCTTGAAT